TGTGTGAATATACATTGTGTTCACGGAAACAAGGAACACTTTATCACTCATTACCCTGTAAATATTTTTCAATTCTGTTTGTTGGGCATTCAACTGGACTAATGGATCATAAATTCCTATGACTTACAATTTATAATACTTATATGATATTATATTATGATATTTATCAAAAGCATAAACCTAAGACATTCATGTGTACGTTTATGGAAGAAATGATAGTAAATATGCCTTTAAATCGAGCAATAACTATTTTGGTTATTAATTATAAATGTCAAGCTCTGCATACCACGCAGTAAGCTTATATTATAATTTACACATGTCCCTCTGTATGCCACAGAAAGGATGTATAATAGTTATGATATATAAATAGACATGGACCAATCGTGCTTAAAAAAAGATTTTTTATTTAAGACCAATGTACCAATTGCGATCCATATATTTTACGGTAAATATACCAATTGCACTATTCAAATTTGTCTACCTTCAGATATGAAAATATTGTAAAAAAGTTTAAATGTGAATTATAATGTAACTAGTATAATATTAAATTAGAATTTATTTACATTATGTATGTATATTAAGTATTAATAGTCGCAAAAATAAATCGATTTGTGTATTATTTATATTTATTATACTTTTAATTATAACTTAATTTTGAATAATTTACGATCAAAAAGCAACTTGTTAAATCTAAAGAAAAAAATTATTATTTTATTTAAATTAAATTAAGTATTTATAATCGAACGAAAATTAGTCAGTGTATTTATTTTCTATATAACTATACCGAAATAATAAGTTTTGATGTTTTGAGCGCAATTGGTAAACTCCTATATAGATATCTACAACATCTATTAGATAAAAGTGTATGTCTATAATATATTTACTAGTTATTCAATCGGCCGTTTTTTTTATTAATTTTTGGATACCCATTAGGTATCAGGGATGATTATAGTATCCATTACATATAGTACAGCATCATTATTCTAATAGTTGTAATATGTAATGGATATCCATAAGATATTCATTGAAATTAATATCTTTATACGATTATTATATTATTATTATTAGAATACAAATTGAAAAATTTTTCATATCAAACCAAATCTTTATTTAATAATCAATAAAATCATATCAAAAAATATGCAGTATAAAAAATATAAATACAAATATGTAATCAAACTAATTTCATAATCTTTATAATCAAAAAATAATAATAATTTCTGTGTAATTAAAACAATTTAGAAAATCGATTAATTAATAATATTTTTTCAATCAAAATACGATAAAAACTTAATAATAAATGTTTTAACAAATATTTACTGTGTAATAAGTTAAGCTTACCTTGAACTTCAAAGGAGGAACGCGATTATATTAAATGTGTGTAATTAAATAGAATTAATACAGCTTATTATCAGAATATTTATTTTATTGTATTACAGAATATTTTTGATTGTCGAAATTCATTGAATTCATATTAAAATTAAAATAATTAACTGGTGTTATTATACAGGAGTGTCCAATATTTAGACATCAGTCGAAAACGTGCTGTAGCAAACTACTCCCCAATCGGTGAGTAAACTAAACGCGATCTCTCCACCATCCTAAAGTGCAAGATGGGAAACTGAAAAAACTAGAAGGCCAATTTTTGGAACTTTAAAATCTAGCGAACCAGAGTAAAAAAATAAAAAATAATAATATATTGAAAGCTTTTCTCACTATTAATTTTTTATTTTGTACTTTTTTCATTTTTTATTTTTTATTCATTTAATTTTTATTTCCATTTCGTGTCATCAATATACTATTGAACTTATTTTAAAAATGTACAAAACGCAAATTATAGATATTTATATTATTAATAAAAAACATATCCATACATTTTTTCGTGCATATATATTATATTTTATATGAAAAAAATACACAACGTAAATTATAGATATTTATATTTTTAATAAAAAAACATATCTATACAATTAAAATATCGAACATTTTATTTATTTAAAAAAATTAACTATTTTTAAGGTTAGGTTTTGATTTCACACCCCCTCATTTTGTTCATTATTATAAAAAAGAAATTTGTGTTAAATTTACCTAATAAACTATTGAAATTATCGGAAAAATGTACACAACGTAAATTATAGATATTTATATTTTTAATAAAAAAAACATGTCTATACATTTAAAATATTGAATATTTCATTTATTTTAAAAAATTAACATTTGTACGGTTTTTTAAAGTATATCAGAATAACGGTTGATGATACGAAAAAATATCTCGTGTACGAATGATAAGAAATTACATTTTCTAAAAAAAAAATATTTTGTCGTATCATCAACCCTTATTCCGATATACTTTAAAAAACCGTACAAATGTTAATTTTTTAAAATAAATGAAATATTCAATATTTTAATTGTATAGATATGTTTTTTTATTAAAAATATAAATATCTATAATTTACGTTGTGTATTTTTTTCCGATAATTTCAATAACTTATTAGGTAATTATATTCAAAAAAAACGACAAACTAACCCTATTTTGAAATTTTTTAACTCCTTTGTGGCACGAGAAAAGGGTTAGTATACTAATTATAATCATGGCTAAATTTAACACAAATTTTGTTTTTATAATAATGAACAAAATTAGGGGGTGAGAAGTCAAAAATTTGAAAGTTCAAAAATTACGGCTACCTTAATATATGTACATTAAAAGAACGCTATACTTACACCCATTGTTTTGTTTTACAAACGCATAAAATAGCAAATTATATATTCTGAATAATCTATATCAACTCTTTTATGCCTAATATTACAGTAATTAAAAACAAATCTATGAGGTTCACAAAATAATATTTTTACTTTTAAATTTAATAGTAGGTAAACTAATATTATTTTGTAATATGTTGATTTTTTTGCTGTCAAGCCATACGAATAATAATAAAAAAAAAGTGTAATTTTAAGTATAAATGAACTTAATGGATTATTTAGAACGTACAATTTGTTATGCCATGTGTTTGTACTCGTAAGACGGAAACCATGCATATGAGTGTAGTATCCTATTTATCAGTATTTTAGAAGTTTGTAATTGATCATTGTTTCATTGATTATTTGTTATGATTGCAGCTTTTTTTTTCTTTTTATTGAAGATGGTCTTAGCGCCAAATACTTTTGTATACGATCTTCAATTTCCTTAGGTTGAACATTTTTAAATTTTGTTTTTTTGCGAATTGCTTCTATAAAATTATAAAATAAGAAAATAATGAGAATATTTTATTTTATTAATTAATTTATTTATTTATTTAATTTATTTTACAAATTTATACATTTTAGTTAATATATTCATAACATTATAAATACAATATAGGCCTTTAGTATAAACTACTATAATATACAAATTGTACAATCATTGGTATAATTCAATATAATATACTTAAGAACGTTAATATATAATTTAATGTTACACTACACATTCACTTGGGATGGATGTTATATTTTATATATCTTACCAAAAATAGTGGAACGAATGTTTATGGTAACAAGGAAAAACATTTTTTTTTCCTAATACCATGAAATAAATATTCAAATAGAAGCTCATCATTAAATCATTTTTTAAATATGCGTTTAATTGAATGGTATACGTCTTTACCCATTGTCCACATAATTTTAGCAATCTGAAAAAATAAAATTTATAATTTAAAAAAAAAAGAAATGTATTTTATTTCATTTTGTATTAATTTAATATTTCATAATAATAATTTTATATTTTATTTTTAATATTTACGAGTAAATATTTTTCTATTTTAATTAAAATAAGATAATAAAATGTGCATATTTGAAACTATAAAAATGCTATAGATTTTAATGTTTAACAGTCATAATGTATAACATTATTTAAATAAAAAAATATCCCTTATTAATTGAGACCTAAATTCATATATATGGTCATGATCAATCAATTTTGCTTCTAATGCTCGTATCCATGCTCTGTATTGATAGCCTTTTTAATGAATGATTAGTATATCAAAGATTGATTTTCGGTAGATATTGATGCCTTTATTGGTGTATCAATTATGTGTCCAATTCTCTCCAGTACATCAAACAATAATCTGATGTCATGAAGGAATCCAGATACTTGTTTTTCCATAGATTCTAATTTATGGTCTAAAAAAAAAAAATGTTATAAAATTAATTTTGCTTAAAAATTAATTTTATCTAAATTTGGTAAGATTATACATAGATTTAAGTAATATTTAAAATTTTTACAGTACATATTATTTTAATATACAGATAACAAAAAAAAAATTAAAAAAATAGACACTATAAACATGATTACCTATAAATTGTATGTACTTACCTAATATTTTGATTGTGCCCATTAATCCATCATTATAAGTTTCGTTGTATTGTAGAACCAGATCATGTTGTATAATTTTTGTTTCCATCAATTTAATGAACTGTATACAATAGTAATTTAAAGTAATATAGTATACAAACAATTATAAGCTTATTATGGTTTATATTTATTTACTTAAAGAATCTCCATGCAATTTTTCAATATTATTATTAAACAATAATTTGTTGTTTTTTAGAAAGACAAATTATATAGTCAAAGGAGTTGAATTTACTACAGATGAAGTTTCGGAACTTAATATACTTTTATCAGATGAAAGAGATTTTGTGAATGGCTCATATAAAACGTATTTATCTAAATCATCCAAAATGTCAACATATAAATTTTAATACTGCTTGTATAGATTTTGTTTAATTATTAGAGTTGGTCATAGTATCAAGAGTAAAAATTAGAACATTAAAAACACAAGATATTCAGTACAAAGTTCAGAAAACTGTAAACCATAATTTAAGTCTTATTGTATTAGTATCTAAATAAAACTCAGATAATCTGAAAAAATAAAATGTACAGAAATAATTTAAACAAGTATTGATATGTATAGAAACTTGCAGGATTTTGTAGCGCTAGATTTTGAAGGACTGCTATATTGTGGAATTCAATTTCTATTGATTTTTCTTGAAGTACTAAGGCTGTTTGATTTTTCAGGTATAGGTTTAGAGCATTTCGTTTGTAGTTCTCTCCAAGTACGGTCTTCCAGGAAACAAACTATCAAAACAGTCATGTTGTCACATCCAATACCCATTTGACCATTGGGTGCTAGACATCTAGTCATTAAGTCTTCACATATATATTCGGGGTCCATACCATTGCTGACACGGAATCGTATAAACTTAACAACTTCCTCGTTGGACATTACGTCCCAAATTCCATCACAAGCTAATACAATAAATTCTAAGTCCTTTGAAACTGGTTTTATTTCAATATCAGGCCATGCAATAACTATTTGTTCATCTAATTTTTTTTTGTCATTTTTTTTAAATCTATAATCACCAAAAGATCTGGATAGAGCTAAATTGCCATTCACCCTGTTGGATATGATAAAACCACCAGCAGCTTCAATTCTTTTAGTTTCTAATTCATTGTTTGGTTTGTGGTCATATGATAATGGTTCTACTAAACCATTCACCGATGCTATAGCCCTGGAATCTCCAACATTAGCACAATAAATTACTTTATCTTTTATTAAAACAACTACAGCAGTAGATCCAGCATAGTCATTCTTTAGCATCTCATCATCGGCCATAGCCGTATCCATGTCCATAAAACCTAGTTGTAATGCTTCACTAATTTTATTTTCTTCATATTCTGGTCTTTGAGTAATAAATGTATGTAAATGCTTGCCAGCATATTGTGCTATTTTCGCACCTCCGTGACCATCATAGACTCCGAAAAATGCAGCACTTGGATCATTAGGTAGTGTTAGAATTTGTGTATGAGAATCTTCCATAGTGGGTCTCCATCCTTGCATAGAGCTGGAACCAACTATTAAATAATTATTTCCACAGCTTTCTGTGTGTGTCGAAATCACTGGTTCTAATAATGTATAACTCATGGTAGTGTTCTGATAAGGGTGTTTTTACGATTCAATAAAAATTATCAACGGCGAATTTAGTCTTATTAGTGATTATTTATTTATATAATATAACTGTTGCCAAGGCAACATAAAATGTGCCATTTTCCTTCTCTCCAAAGACCATTGCATTAAATATACGTTAATCCAAAAACGTCGTTTATATCAACAATGCAAGTGGTGTAAAAAAATGAACACAAAGTGTACTGACGGTTAAAATATATTGAGTCGAATATCTGTAAGATTCTCGTATCATACGTTATTGTAGGAGACTATTATTTTAACAATCGGAAGTCATTTTTTTATTTTTATTTTTAATTTTATCTAAATTTAGAAAATAACGAGAACCGTTGGTTGTAAACGAAAAAAAATATTAAAAAAAAGAACATTTGCATCTTCCATGATAACGTATGCGTTGTATTTGCAGAGCACATCGTCTATATAAGCCAGGGGTCGGCAATAGGCGGCCCGCGGGCCATGTCCGGCCCGCAGAAGGGAAATAACTGGACCGCCAAAAATTATCTTAATTTTCCCATATATCCTATGTATCACCCCCCCTCCGTTCATAACAAAAATTAAACCAATATTGAAATCGATTTCATTAGGCGGTGAGACAATAATAACGGTTTATGATTATCTGTATTCTGTGTTGTTGTTGAACGTGCCACAGTCACGGCTGCGGGCCGAGTCGCTTGCATTCGCGCGCGCGCGCATGTGTGTGTGTGTGTGTAAAATACAATATTCAGAGGCGATCTATTTTTATGATTTATTAGGAAATTACGATAGCGTTCATCGTATACCGCTGTTTATAATAATAGTCACGATAACAGAACACCATACATTGAACCTACTTCTTGAAACACAAATATTATTTAGTTCAATTTACGCGTTGCGTTTGTCGTTCGTCGTTCGTCAAGAAATTATTATAATTATTCGTATTCGTAGTCCGTCGCGTCTGTAGTGTTAAAACTTATTAATTTATAAATATTATTCGTGTATAATCGAGTATGTTTTCCAAAAAACGTAAAGTTGACAATGAAAACAGAAAGTTTCTGGCTGAGTGGACCGAACAATATTGTTTTACACTTCCAGTAAGAGCTGGAGCCGTTCCAGTTTGTCTTATATGTAACAGTACAGTTGCTGTCGTTAAATGTGCTAATTTAAAGCGTCATTATGATACAATGCATAAAGATTTTGAAAAAAAATTTCCTCTTAACAGTGCAGCGCGTAAAAATAAGCTCCAAGCGTATCTCTTGTCTTATAAAAATAGTACGACTATGTTAGTACAAAGTATGACTGGGCAAGAAAAGTCAGTAGAAGCAGCATTGCGTGTTTGCTGGATGTTAAATAAACACCAAAAACCATTTACAGACTCAGAAATTGTAAAAGAGTGTAATGTTAGAAGTAGCCACTGCACTTTTTGAAGAAAAAAAGGACATAATTAATGCTATTCAAAGTATTCCTCTATCAGCAAGAAGCAATACAAGAAGAACAGAACTATTGGCCGATGACAACAAAAATAATTTAATTCACATTTTACAGATGGCTCCTTGCTACGCTATTGCAATTGATGAGTCATGTGATATTGTTGATTCTGAGCAAATGTCAATTTTTGTGCGCTTTTTAGACGTTGAAAGTAGAGTATTTAGAGACGAGTTGCTAGCATTATTGCCAATGAAATGCAAGACTCGTTGAGAAGATTTGTTTAAAACTTTTGACGACTTCATGACTAAATCAAATATTAGTTATGATAAAATTGTGTCTATTTCAACTGATGGCGCACCGGCAATGATTGGTAAAGAAAAGGGATTTGTTAAGAGAATCAAGGATAAGAATGCTGAAATACTTTCATATCAATGTATAATTCATCAAACATCCCTGTGTGGCAAACTTAGTACAACACTGAAGGAAGTAATGGACATAATTATCAAGTTGATTAATTTTTTGAGGTCCCGATCTGCTCTTCAGCACAGGCAGTTTAAAGATTTTTTATTTGAATGTGATTCAGTGTATTCGGATTTACTTCAATATAACAATGTCCGTTGGTTAAGTAAAGGCAAAGTGATCGAACGTTTTTGGAGTATAAAAGAAGAAGTTATCACGTTCTTGGTAAACTTGGATTCAGTAGAATCAAAGCAGTATCATAAATTCTTAACAAATGAGAGCAATATGCTATCTGTGGCGTTTTTAAAAGACATTCTTGGATATTTAAATGTACTTAATACTGAGTTACAAGGGCAAAAAAAGTTAATTTGTGATCTGATATCAAGTGTATCTGCTTTCCGACGAAAACTTGAAATCTTTGAAGAAGATATAAAAAATCAAGATTTTATTCATTTTCCAACAATCCTAGAATATAAAAAGACTCCCGACATAGACTGCAGTATGTTTTTAAGTTTTTTGTCGGACCTTGGTGAAGAATTTCGTAAGAGATTCAAAGACTTTGCAGAAATTGGAAAACTGTCTCAATTTTTAAAAAATCCGTTTGAAGTTTCTCCGACTGGAGAATGGATTGACGTTGCTACAAAATTATTTAAACTTCCAAAATCTTCACTTCAAATTGAAATTATTGATTTGCAAGAAGATATCTCATTGCAAATGTATAAAACTTCGTCCACTGAAGATTTTTGGATAAAGCATGTCTTGGATAAATACATGAACTGTAAAACCCTTGCCATAAAATTAGCTACTATGTTTGGCTCCACTTATGTATGTGAAACTTCGTTTTCAAAAATGACGTTTTTAAAAAACCGATACCGTTCAAGATTAACAGATCACCACCTTGAAAACACTTTACGCATCAGTTGTTCTCCAAGAGTACCAGATTTTAAAAAACTAGCTCAAGAAAAGAAATGTCATTTTTCTCATTAATACAATTTTGTTATTATTAGTATGAATGTATAATTACTTTATAAATAATTAAATACTTTGTCTTAAAATGTGTTTTTAATACAAAAATAAATACATTAATGATAAAATTAAGTTTAAGATTTTTTTGGCCCTCGAAATTTTTTTTTTTTAAATATTTGGACCGCCATATAAATTAATTGCCGACCCCTGATATAAGCATATTATAATAAAAACGAATTTTGCATTTATCATCGTTGTTATATCATGATCTTGAGTTTATGTCAAATCTGAAGAAAAAAATCCCAACGATTATTTCTGCTACTACCTAATAGTTCGTATTATTAGCGTAGAACGATATCTCATGTGCGAAGTACGATATTTATTTTTTCTTCAAAATACAACATCATAGATGTTAATGATTTTAAGTGCTATAAGTCCCGAGCCCTGTTTATAACACTTATAAAAAAAAACAAATACGTAAAAGTATTCAAAAAGTAACCGATAAGAATTAATTATAAATGATTTTATACATTTTTAAAAATAATAAAAAAAATGTAATACAAAATTCTTCATAAGTATATCTACCTTTATAAAAAAAAAAAATGTCTACAAAAAAGTCCAATTAAAATTTTATGAACCTTTGAAGTTTAAATTTTTACAACATTAGATATCAATCGATTTCTCATGTAACAATTTTTTTACTTTATTTTAATTCGATAACGAATAACTATACACAAAAATTAAACAGCAGTCGAACAACAGGTTAACACAATCCATTACAGTTAAAAAGATATTATAAAGCATAAAAATGTTTATCTTTTAAAATATATAATGTACTTAACTATGAAAGAAAATCATTAGTAATCCATTACAGTGACCTACTTTTAATCTATTGTACAGTAGAGCGACTTCCACTTGCCCACCTTTTTTTTTTATGAATTTCGATAATGTTCTATTTTTTGGGTGAAAATTTAATACAAGGCTTCTGATAAATTGTTACAATAGCAGAAGTACGATATCAAAAGTGGTTGTTGTTGGCAGGGGCGGACTGAGAGTACTTCGGCTTGGGTGGAGAAGATTTGAGCGGCCTACATTTTTTTTTGTGTGATCAAAAAATTTGCAGCTCGCTATGCTCGCTCATCGTAGGCTAATATCTTCTAAAAGGGTATTTAGCACCGCCAATATATTCTAGAAATAAATAATACTTATCATAATTCATAATATTATATTATATCGTTTTTAATACTTAAAATCTTTTTTGTCTTTATTTAGATATTACTGAGACAACAATTTATCAGGTACTTATTTTTCAGATAACTAATGTTATAGTCATTATTGTGCATTTGTGCTGATTCGACCTACTGTTGAATAGGTTATAAATAACCTACTGTTATGAAAATAAAATTCTATTAAATTATATACCTATTATTATTTTATAAGTAAATTTTTATTTTCATGAATTTGTTTCTATTTATTTTAATATTTGTTTTAAAGATTTGGCAGAGTATTTGAGATTTATGGGGAGTTTGAGTATCAAAGCCCTCTACGGGTTACTGATAAGTTAATTTTGAAGGGACTTGAGCACCCCCAGAGTACTATTTCCGCCTATGACGCTTATGATTGGCCAAGCCCGGATTATGATAATTTGGGGCCCGGGGTCAAACAATTTTAGGGGCCCATAACCATAATCAAAATATTGATGACCCACACATAAATATATTTCAGAGACAAAAAAAAACATTATATTCTAATTTATAAATTTATTTCTTACTTTTTTTTAATATAAAAAATAAAAATGTTATTTTTATAAATAATTTTTTCTTTCTTTTTAAAAAGCAAATTCTTTAATTATATCATTGGTATTAATTACCTCTAAAACATTACTCTCTGAACACAAAATCATAAAACTATATACTATTTTATACTTGTTTTTTATACGAGCTAAATAAAAAGTTAAAAATCGAAAATACCCACTATCCACCAGGGGCCTACTATTGTTTGATATTCGTTATAGGCCCGAGACATGACCTCCTCTGCCCTCCACCTTGATTCAGGTTTGTAAACGGCAAATTTTACAGCCTCTTCATATATTTATGACGACCATAGATAGCTAGATTTAATCTTCTTTTACGTCAAATATAATTGCAGCACAAAAATTCATCAAATACATTATTACCACAAAATAGTGATTTCCTTATTTTCGCATAAATAGTTTATAATAATAATACGAGTATAATAGGTAATAAATGAATGAATGAAATATCAAATGCTTATTATTTAAATTTAAATTTATAAATTCAATATTTGATGCATAATGGTGGATGATTCTTTTAAATAGTTAACGGCTTCCGACACATCTATTTCATACAACAGCTCTTTTTTTACTGACATTTAAAGCAGAGTCTCCAAATTTTCCTGATTTAAATTGGATCTTTATCTAGTTATAATGAGTTTCAGCTTACTAAATGTACGTTCACAGATAACTTCTGTAACTACTAAAGTTAAAAAAAATGCATACCCTTCGCATAGTGTAGTATAAGCAGACACATATAAATTTAAATTACATATCAAACTTGATGTCGGGACCTACTAATCTAAAAACTATTAATTGTAATATAATTGTATTGTAATATAATACTAAACCTATATATTTATGTACATAAGTAACTGTCAAAGTGCCTTTACTCAAAGGTTTCTTTAATCTGTGTTTCACTCAAGCCATTATTCTCTGATCACTTTTACTCATTGTTCTATTCTGTAAGAGATTGTAAATTATATAAATAAAAACAAAAAAAAAATTAAAAAACATATCAAACTTAGACATAATTCAAACAATTTTTCTTGTCGTGGTTACTGTATATTACATTACCTGAAACCATAAACAACAATACTCGTATTATTGATCATGGTTAAATAAACATTGTAAATAAAACGAATATTTACACTATCAATCTTACAAGGAAACATACTTTTATAGATCCCATCAACTTTATTTTCTAATTCGATTTCTATGCACTTTTCTCTTCAGTTTCGGACTCTGAGTATATTAATTTTGTTCTTTTCTCTACTGGATTAGATATGTTTGGATAGACTTGAAAAATGTTGAAGTTCCAGTTTTAATTGATCTAGATCTATACTTGCTATAGAATACTAGATATATTAATAAAATGTAGATATATCTACTTATTATAATTAAATAATAATATTATGTAAAAAAATTCGTGCCCCTGGATTGTGTATTTATGTGTTATTATCTATTATTGTTAATTTAGTAATAATATAATAATTTAATATAAAATTATAATATAATATATTTTTATTAAAAGTGCACCTCCCATGACAGCGGCCCCAATGGATTTCTTCCTTTCTTCACCTGGGCCAGTCCACCACTGGTTATTGGGTACAAATTTCGCGCGAGGATCGCGGCTTTTGGCGTCCTGCAAACTTGGTCGATAACATGATCGATTGCTTGAGAGGGGGTAGTTAGCTGTGCTGTTTCCGATCGTCAGCCCGCCGTTCGCTCCCGAGACCGGTCTGTCGTCGGTCTTCTGTGCTTTCATCGGCCAAATGTAAACTTCTACACAAATAACCTTTTTACCTAAATTATCATTAAATGTAAACTCCTACACTAATACCCTTTTAAAATTTTTACCTGAAAATCAAAGATATTGTAATCTTCTACATAGAATTTTTCCTTTTACAAAATTGGGTACTGAAATTCTCGATTTTGAAGTTTTCATTATTTCCTCCAAAATTGTGGTCTTCTAATAATACTACTAATACATGTGAATCATTTCGTTTAAGATTTAATAGTAGTTTTTATCATCATCATCCAAATCTCCATTTATTCGTAAAAGTTTTGGAAGATATACAGACCGAAACATACATTAAAATTAGAAGCAGTCATACAATACAACGGAGACAGACAAAAACTATTTCTAAATATCAATTTATAAATAATCAAAAAGATATTCGAAGAGAAATTTTAGATTTAGAGTTTATCTCCAAAGTATGCCATAAAAATATACGTAAATGATTATGACTTAGTATTGTTTTATTGAATTTTTTATTATTTTTTTCAAAAAATTTTGTTTTAAATATATGTGATTTTGACTATTGTTTTATTAACATTTTTATTATATTTTTCAATCAATTTTTACTTTATTTGTTAATATATTGCATGACTGATATTTTTTACAGCAATACGGGCGGTATTCATTTTTATTGGAGTTAACACTATCTTTTGTAGGAGTTTACATTACATTTGTAGGAGTTTACCATTCCCCCGTTCATCATCACCGTTGTGTACTTGTGTTCCTGTTTTTACGTAGCCGTCTAGACCAGTGGTCTTCAACCGGTGGGTCGCGACCCAATTTTGGGTCGCGTAAGCTTTAAGATTGGGTCGCAATAAGTTTTCTGTTTAAAATTTAAAAAAATCATATTTATATATATTATATAATTTATGTCATATGATACTGCATAAAAATGTTTTCGAATAGAACCGAAACCGTACTATTTTATACTATTTTAAATTTGTAGAAGATTAGAATGAACCCTTTTTTCTCAAACACTCATACTAAATTAGAAAAAATCCTCAAACCAATATGCAACATATATCACTAATCATTAACTATTGAACACATAGTGGAGGAGTGAACACAATTTACCTCAATACGCACCGACCTGAACATGCCATCCAACATAGTAAAAGTACTTAACGAAAAACAAACTCTGAAAATTGTCACATTATTAAGTATCACAAATATTATATTAATAAATTTTAATTTATATCTAACTTCACCTATATAATATTTCATATGTAATATTGTAATTTTAAAACACCTAACACATCAAATATGTAACATCTAATAGCTAATAATATTTGCTGTTGAAGCCTCAATCTTCAAATAAGAGAAAAAAATAATAAACAATCAAATGAAGTGATAGGTTGACTTAATTTATAAATCGCATTTACATTTCATAAATTTATAAACTGCATTGTGTTAAATTGAGCTGAGGTGGAGGTATTTCGTGTGAAAACAGTCCGGGACAAATATCGCACTCATTTCTTTTGTATATCAAAACATATACATTTTTCGGTATCATTACATGTATTTTTTTTTTTTTTTTGTATCATTACTTGTATTAAAAATTAAATATTTCCTAAATACCTAAAAAATATCAATTTTGATTTATTTTGTTATAGAAGCACTTCCAATATGGCATACATTAAATAATTTTAACTTTTTTATTTGGCTTTCGTGGCTATTGAAATTTACATGGGTCACGAAAAATGTTTGGTAAGAAAAGTGGGTCGTAGGTCGAAAAAGGTTGAAGACCACTGGTCTAGACAATATAGTATATCCGCCATTGTGCGTATCGGTGCGTCGCCACTGTTAACACTAACAATCGCAAACGTCATGTACACTGTACGCCACTCCGTCGTTTTTTGTGTTTTTTATTATATATTTTGCCACCCGTAGCACTCCGCGCCATGTGGTTTGACCATCGTCGTCTTATCCACTCCGTTCTCGTCACCGAGAAACTTCAGGACATTTTTTTACATCACATCCAAACCTAACCATACAGTCCACTCTTTCTTTCACTCTCTCAGGTTTTATTCCAGACGACGATTTTACGATCGGGTTCTCTGTCGGGCGTCATCCGTGCGTACAGGTACTAGCCCATTCGATCGCCGGTTTCGGTGTACAACCGTTAACTGCCGCACAGTTATAATAATAATTGATTAGCATGAACGGGTTTAAATTTAAAGCCATTATAATTTTTTTAAATTTTGTAAACTATTTTTCAGTTAGTAATTCATAAAAAATGTTCATTTCATAGCTTAGATAAGAAATTGTAATAAAAGATTTCCAATAAGTTTTTTTACCTCTATCATTAAGAAAAATTTCAAAGGAAAGTTACTATTTTCATAGTTATAAGATATTTTCGATTTTTATAAAAAAGATATTTAACTATTGAATTCCATTGAGCATTTAAACGGTTCAAAATATACTTTACTCTCTACCATGGTCAGGGGTGTATTAAATATAGGTTTACCGCCCTGAAAGTGATTTTTGAAAAAAATGTAATATTTGTCCATCGGTTCTTCTTTTACTCGGCCGGGTTTCAATGTAGAGGCTTAATTTTTTCACGAAAAGTTTTGTTTTGAGTTATTATACAAGAAGTATTCAGGAGGTCAATACGTTCTTGACCCTCCCCCTAGATGTATTTTGAAAAATGTTTAGTTTTTGTCTCACGTTTCTGAAACTCGGAGGTTCGTTTTTCCGTACGTTGTTCATCGAAATGGGTATTTTGTGTCGAGATTAGGAACCGTTTTTGCCCCTGTTTTGGACGTCAGAAGTTCAAAATTTGAGTTTTTTAGTCGATTTTTAATCGGCCAGGTTTTAATGTAGAGTCTTAGTTTCTTCGCGATAAGATTTTTTTTAAAGTTATTTTACATAAAGTATTTCGGGGGTAGAAAGATCCCATGGCCCCTTATGCTCTCCCCAAAAAAATTTTGAAAATTTTGAAAATTATTGTCCCACGTTTCTGAAACTCGAAGGTATGATTTTTCGAAATCATTTTATTAATACATTATATTTTATTATAATAATTATAATTATATAATTATTATATTAATTTATTTTTAATAGGAGCTCCTGAAAATAATGATATTTGTAAAGCTACTGCATTTCCAGAAAATTTGAATATTGTTTAATTTTAAACTAACCTATTATAAATGAGTTAAATTGCAATTCTAAGAAATTTAAAAGTATTTTTGTACAACAAGAGTTTAAAAAATCATTGGCTTCACTAATTACTTTGTTCTCAAAATGATGTGTCGGCGATGTGTCATTTACAGACAGTTCTATTCCACCTTCCTTAGCTGGGTCTTCAACAGTAGCAGTTGTTTGAGCAATTGTTCTTTTTTTCTTGATACAATTTTGCAATTGGTACTCTGGAGCTAATTACGAAATCTTGGGAACAGTAGCTGCGTTGTTCGTACAAAAAGTAAATTTATGAATTGTATATTTTTGATTAAGTTTTTGTGCTATGAGCATAGTAATATACCATACCTTTGCCTTACGCTGGGGCTTTGGGGAGGACCGTCCCCAGGGTTTTTGGCCTCTATAGCCTCAAACATTTTCATAATACTATTTGTTGTTTCTGTGGTAGGTTCAGATATAATGTTCTGTTCATCGTTTTTGTAATCGAGTTTTATCCAATTATTATAATACATTTTAAAAGATAAACATTTTTATGCTTTATAATATCTTTTTAACTGAAATGGATTGTGTTAACTTGCTGTTCGACTACTGTTTAATTTTTGTGTGTAGTTATTCGTTTTCAAAATAAAATAAAGAAAATTGCTACATAAGAAATCGACTGAGTATCCAATGTTGTAAAAATTTAAACTTTAAAGGTTAATACAATTTTAATTGGACTTTCTTGTAGACATTCTCTTTTTTTTTTTTTTTTTGATTAAGGTAGATATACTTATGAAGAATCTTGTATTACATTTTTTTATTATTTTAAAAATGTATAAAATCATTTACAATTAATTCTTATTGGTTACTTTTTGAATACTTGTACGTATTTTTTTTTATAAGCAGTGGCGTAGTTACGGGGGGCAAAAGGGGCGCTTGCCCTCCTAACCTCTACTGAAAATTAACTTTTAAACAAAATTTGGTAATTTAAAAAAACTGTATATTGAAAAAAATATTATTTTGATTGATAATGTTGTTGAATTGATAAATATATTAAAACCACAGTAACTAGTAACCACCGGTATAATTAAGACCAAACCGTAATGTGCAACGGTGATAGTAAGAACACGCATGTTTTTAACGCTTATCAAATAAAGTAAATAATGTTATTATATTTTTTAAAATTGTACTCAAGGCTATTTATATGTTATGACAACATTAAATATTGCCTCTTATAGATAGTATAACAGTTTAAGAGCGGAAAATATTTTTGTTTAAAGTAAATATATTAAAATGAGCGAGATTTCATGTCATTATAATGAATTTGAGACTTGTGATCCATCGCAAAACATTAGATATATTGTTCATAATGAACACTTATTTAAACATTATCTGGAACATGGACCTATTCAACCAAAACATGGATTCAACAAAGTTAATGGTAGATAATTTAGAACGGACTGGTATGTTATTATTTTCATTAAATTATTCCTGTTTTGTGTCATGCACATGCAACAAATATTAATCTTATTTATTATATTTGACGGTACACAAAATTCACTTGATTAGAATACAGTTTAGAAGAACAAGTGGCTTTTTGTTTTTTCTACCGTGTGATGCCATCTAAAAAGTCAAGTTTTACAGTTATACGAGTAGTTGGTGGAGTAAAAAGTAATGTTTTTTCAGCCACTGGTTTTAATAACTGGAAAAATTCATTAGATAAAGGTATCATTTGCATTTATTTATTAATAAAATAAAAATGTTATACTGTTTATTAATTGGTCAGACCTGTTAATCTAAGGGACATAATATTTTATTTAATAATTAATTGATAGTTAATGATAATAATTTTAACTGATTTAAGCTTAACTGTAACCCTTCCAAAACATAATGAAAGTAAAACACATTTTGAGAGTGTAAACTTAGTAAAACATTTTCTAACAAAAAAGTAAATTGATGAAGTAATTTCTGTTGAAAATGAAAAAATAAAAACCAAGAAAAAGCTTGGAAAAAATATACTTATTTTTAGTGTTGTTAAATTTTTTGAAATTTGACCTTCCTTTTAGAGGCCACGATGAAAGTTCTAATTCTAATAACAAGGGGTGTTTTCAAAGAATTTATTCAGTTTTTGACAAGTAATGGTGACAGTATTTTGGCAGTTCATTTAAAAAATTCACCTCATAATGCTATGTATCTTAGTCCTGAAATCCGAAATGAAATGGTGTCTATTACTGGTGAAAGTATTAAAAGTTACATAGTAAAAGAAGTAATTGAATGTGGTCCGTTTTCTATTTTAATGGATGAAACGTCAGATTTATCCTATAAAGAACAAGTTTCAAATTTTGTACGGTATGTTAAATTTGGAAATCAAAATTATACCATTTGTGAACACATTATTGCTCTGCAAGAAACTAATCAAACTACTGGTGAAGCTTTAACTGAACTTATTTTATACATACTAAGCAAAAATAATCTTTTAGTAGAAAATCTTGTTGGTCGAGGGTATGACGGTGAAAGTAATATGAGGGGTGCAATTAAAGGAGTACAAAGTCGAATTAAGGAAATAAATCCAAATGCACTTTACACTCATTGTTTTAGTCACAATTTAAACTTAGTTTTAATAAATTCCTTGACTGGAAGTAGGCACACCATACTTAAACATTTCTTTGGAACAGTGGAATTAATATATTCGTTTATTGAAGGAAGTCCTGTTCGACATTCATATTTTATATCAAAACAAAAATGTCCACTTCGTTACACTAATGACAATACCACGTGTCTACATTTCACTAATTGTTCAGGAGAATGAAAAAACTAAATAAATATTAATAAATATTATACACCTCAAATTTTTATCAAGTTTAAATTTCAGTTTTGATTATCCAACATTTTTAATAAAATTCTTTAAATTTGGTTGCTATTTAAAATTTAGTGTAGTTACTTGGTATTTACTAAAGTTTTTGTGAGATAGGTGTTATTTATCAGTGCTTTAACATGGTTTAAACTTATAAAAATATTGGAGGAGAAATAATTTATTTTACGTTATTGCACAGAAAATAAAATTCAGGCGCAAGGAAATAGCAAATATTTTGATACCGAAAACTCATTTTATGTAAAACGTGCTATTGTCATTAGTGTAACGACTTGTACTTAGGTAATCGTATTATTTATTTAAATTTACATGGCTCTTATTCAGTCAATTTTGAATTTAGAACCATACTTTATTTATCAAAATTACTCAAAAGAAAATAGGCCTATCCAAATATGGGATTCAAAAAGGTTTTACCATTTAAAAAAAAATGAAAATATATTGCGCATGCGCAAACTATATGAGTTAAAAAAAATAATAAGTCATAAGAATTTATGATCCATTAGTCCAGTTGAATGCTCAACAAACAGAATTGAAAATTATTTACAGGGTAATGAGTGATAAAGTGTTCTTCGTTTCCGCGAACATCCTGTATATGGATGATGCGTCTTTTTTGGGAGGAAGTAGTGACAGTTTTTTTATTTTCTTAATATAGTCACCCTAAAATAAATCAACCACCTGTTCGCCTGCAGATCTACCGTCGGTATGTGAGTGTAACGTGTCTGCATCATAACGCGACGACGCTTATTACCACTTATATAAAGTATAACGTACTTACGTTGTACAATTTTTACAAGTCTACTGTACAATTTATAAGCGCCATTTATCACAAAAAAATAATAATAATTATAATAATAAAATTAAAGTTAAGTGCCAAAAAAAGGTAAGTTTTAGTTAAATTCGTTATAATAAAAATGTACTTAATATTACAATGTAATTAGTGTCAGATCAGCAAGATAACATGTAATAGAATGGAAATAATTTAATATCCTTATTCCTAATGTTTAAATAAATACCGAAGCGCCAATGCCAAAATTAAGAAAATATGAAAATTTTGTTTTTGCTCTCCTAAAAAATAGTAAAATTGTCGCTTAGCCCCTTTTGCCTTTTACCAGTTGAAATGCTGACCGAGAGGGAAGAGCTAATCGTTTGGCATTGTACTAGTACGACATTTGTAAATATTCGATCTATATAATATCTAGACGAGACTTGGTTGAACGTAGACGATTGTGTCGATCGTGTTTGGAAGGACAATACGGTTCTCTCCGAACAAAATGCATTCAATACAGGCCTAACAACCGGTCCGTCAAACCCATTAAGGGAAAACGGCTCATTGTACTACACATGGGGTCGGAGAATGGTTTTCTGCTGTGTTTTGTTACCAAAAAAAAAAAAAAAAAACACCGGAGATTACCATGATGAGATGACGAAATAACTTCAAATACTTCTATACTATATTATTAAATATTATTTATATTACTATTAAATATTATATAATATTAATTTACGCGGTTACATAAATGCATAAAATATTTATATGATTTTTTTTATTTCTTACAAAATTTGTCACCCTAGGTACGGGCTTACATCTTATGTGATTCACCTTGAAATTTTAGATTGATGCTACTTGTATTTTGTGCGCTCAACCCAAAATTACCTGTGTAATCAGTTGACTTCGTGAATTCCGCATTTTGCATACATCCTATTGATGCCTTTCTATAATAATTATTCTTAATATTACACTTTGGAATGTAGCCATACGGTATATATAATATATGTTTGCGTTACCCTCGAATTTAAACTAATTTTTGTTGTTGCGAATATTATATTATTTATAATCATTTCCCGTAATGTTGTTTGCATATTATAATTTAAAATCTTATACATTATTATATAAATTGAGACAGCCCAAGATAGAAATAGGTGGTGAGGTATAGTAATGGCGGCAAAAACTCTTAGAGAGTAGGAATGCCAAGGAGAGAGAGAGAGAGAATACATTATTATATTAGCTAATATTTTTTAAAAGTTAATTAACTTAATAATTTAAGTTATTTTTTAAAAATGTTTATTGTTATCAGACTATATACTATCCAACAAAATTTGTTATTATATTTTTTACGTGGATCTCCAGTAGACCTAAATCCACGATTAATCAAAAGATCAATAATATTACAAATAAATATCAGGTTATCGAAATAAATATTTAAAGTATTTTGGTCAGGGGATGCCTCGCCCTGATTCTTGAATTTTTGCCTTTGCCGAAATTACAGAAGCACCTCGCCGACGTGGATCCAGTCACAACTAAACGTACAATATTAAATAAACATTTTGAGAATACAAAACAAATCTAATGAAGAAATACATACATAGAACAGTGAGACTTTGAGTGAATAACGGATACGGGTACGATTTCTACTCTTTCCGTTATAAGAGAATGAAGACATATTTTAACGAGTTCTAAATCGTTTTGAGTGACAACTTTTTTACAACTGACATCAAATAAGTTTTCAGGTTACAAAAACTGTTGTGCGTATTGACCGTCCAAACAATAGATAATTTATCGAATGCGACATCGGACCGCTGTCTATATTCCCGGATTACTCATCAGATAATCGTAGTATATTATTATAGTCGCGTAGTTAGCATCCGACAAGTATAACATGCCGCATTCCTGGTCTATAACAATGGCAACCAAAAGCAATCTGCCTGCGACAGAAAGAAACAAAACAATTGAAACAATGAAAAGTATATAGTAGAAAAATAAAATAACTTATGTCATCGGCAGAACATTGGAGAATGTCAACTTTTAATGTTATGAATACAATTGACGGATACTGTCGGTTGAACGGACCTATGGGAACATGTCCTATATGCCAATAGATTCGATTTTCCTTAAGTTTCCAATTTAATTTGATTGGAATCTGACCAATCCGTCAGTTTCACGCCTCGTCCTCTACGTTTCCCGGACAAGGATTGCGCACAGGGGAAGATGAAGGATAAATGATGGTTGTCCAGATAACGGGACTTCCCGAACAATAGAAACCTAAGCGAGATTTATTTGACAGTACCGCTATGCGCAGCACTTGACGGGAAAAAATCTACTGTTATGGCATAAAACATACACTCTTAGATTATAAATAAATCACTCTAGAATGATTATAGAGTAAAAATACCTATTATCAAAATTAAATTTTACATTATTTTCAAGGGTATCTCATCGGGTTTTTCATTATTTAAATTTTTCTGTTTGATATAGCATTTATAAAATACGATTATTTTAAATTTTTTAAATGACTGTATCTTTTTTTAAATTTAATATTTTTTAAAACCCCAATGAAATGCCCTCTAAAATATTGTTTTATTTGATTTTGATAAAAGGTCTCTTAGCTCTAAAACCATTAAGGAACAAGTAATTTTCAATTTACGTGAACACGTTTTTGATACTAAAACAATACCTGTATGATGTCCTTTTAATGGGAATGATAATGCAGTTGTTTCCTCTTGCCTTCAGCATAACTTATTTTGTGAGATAGATTGTCAAGTCTATCTCAATCCCCAACCTGGAGGACCAGAACCACCGACCAATAAAATCAGGGGTGACTGTTGCAACATACTTATAGTACGCTGGACGATGGGTATATCACTTTCCCTACGCCAGGTGATAGGGGTACTAGATAGGAAAAAAGAAGAAACCCATTAAAAATATGAAAATGTTATAAAAAATATTATCGAAGTATTAATTTACTATGTAGATACATACGGCGAGTGAGGGCGTTCCACTTCATCGCCGTGGCTACCGATAGTAATAGGCTCATAGATCTAAATAAAATTTTATTGAACAATTGAATAGTAAATTTGAAGATTTTAATGTGGATGTAATAATTGAAATAGTTTTCTGAAGTAAAAAATCGTTATAAGAAAAAAATGTAAGATTAAAAATCTTCAGATACACCTATCTTTTAAATGTTGAAAAAAGTTTGAAGTTTAAGTTTAAAATGTTATATTAGATAACACAATTTCAAATATGGAAAGAATGTTTTCCTCTAATAAAATGCTATACACAGATATATCTTTTTTATTGCCAGATAATTTTGAAGGCATTTAATAAAATATTGCCTTCTAATATATATTATTTTATAATATATATAATATATTGCATTAGTGGAGTTGTGTAAAGTGTTAAAATATTTTGATAATTTTATATCAATTTAAAAGGTAAGAAATTAACTCATAAGTTTTGCAGGTAATTGGAAATATTTTTAAAGTCTTTACCCGGCGAATATATATAGGTAGTTAATAAAGACATACAAAATACTGATGACGATAACAATGATGATGTTTACAGTAATGAAGAAAAGATTACAAGTTCAAAAATGTGTAAATCATGTATGAATTGTTCAGTTTGTTGCTACAAAATTTTACTCAAGTACAATTTATATAATAACGCTTACTCAAACCTTGCTCTAGCCTACAAATATGTTCTTATACTACCACGTACTCAGGTGATACTTATGAATTAATTATAATTATAATTAATGCAAACATAATTTATTAATAATATGCAGTTATATAGGTATAATAACAATGTAAGTTTTATTTTTCAAGTAGCATCTAAAAGATCATTCTCAATTCTGAAGTACATCAATCAAATCATGCCTGAGAAACACTAACGGAATCAAAATTGGAAGCATTTATACTGATGAGTGTAGAGAAATAAATTTTACTCAAAATTTATATTGATGACATTATTGATATTGTTAAAAATCACAGTAAATTATTAAGATAAACTAACCTATTAAAATGTTTGATTAAATATTAAAATATAGACATAAAAAAGTACAGAATTTTTAATTTAGTACAATATCTTACATGTTAGTATTATAATGTGATATAACTAATTTTAATACTAATATAGTAATATATGTAATTATAAATAAGTAATACATTATACTTCAAGTCTTCAGATAATAATAAATAATAATAATATATAATTTACTAAAAATATTAAGAATCATAAGTTGTTTTCTGAGAAAATTGAAAATGTGTAGAGGATGAACGTTTCTCATTGAATAAAATTGTTATATTTGAGTTTTTACATTTTGTGATGACAAGAAATGGCATGGGCCTGTCAAAATGTAATTTCCCGAGGCGAAATATTGCCCCAATCCGCTCCTGGTGGCGAAGATCGTCAAATAATCATTTATAACAATGATTTAATTTATTAAATATTTTTTATAATGCAGTACAACCTACAAGCTAATAATTGATTTTTTTTTATTAGTCTAATTCCTTCGAGGAAATAATGTTTCGATAAATGTATAATTTGAAATATTAAAAATATTAGAAAAAAATTTTTTTAGATTAAAATATCAGTTTTTAAATATTCTGTTATTTTTACTAGAATATATTAATATGTTGTTTTCCAGTTTTTAAATAATATAATAATATCAGTACTCAACTAATAATAAATATTTTGATATAAAACTAATTTGATTTTTATTGGTTACAACATAATATTGTAAGGAACAAATACATAAAATACTTAATAATCATAAATACAATCACAATCATGTTTTAATCATATATAAAGTAAATATAATCAACATTATATTACATGTAGGCGGCCTTTAGACTTACTTCATAATAGAACATGATATATATATATATATAGAACGTGTTTCAAGTGACTCACCCTTAAATTCATTATTCGTAATAAAGTATAACTATCATATTTATTAAAAACTAGGCTCTTCTATTTCACAGCCAGATCCTGACCCTTTATATTAAAGTCATAACTAACAGGTCTATAATAATACAATTATTCTCATAAAATATCATATCAAATTTTAAAAAAAGGCTAATTTTCTTATAACTAGTAAATAAGGCAAAATTGGTACATTACTTTAACGTTACATGCTAAGTTATCTTTTTTTTTCTTCAAGTGAATATTATTAATTATAAAAAAATATATATGTATCTATTATTATTAAAAATTATTATTTAAAATAATTATACAAAAATGTAATAATTTAATTAATACATAATTACATTATTTTGGTAATTATTTATCATCTCAATGAGATTTATTTTGTAGAATTCCAAATTTGTTGATATTTGGTTTATAATTAGTAACTTTTAATTAAGTACATGCTATAGGTACTACTTTTATCAGTTAGTCAGTTTGTTAGATCAGATTTTATAAAATTAATTTTTGAAAATAGTGGACTCATATGAATAAGTTCAAGAAAAAAATAGACAAAACTGTTAATGCTACTATATTGGGTCATGTTACGTTAAGTATATGTTCTTAACGAATCAAAAATTGAATTAACCGAAAGATGTCAACATAGCAAAAAAGTGCTAACATTATAATGTTATAATTTATTTTTAAAGATATTATTCCCTCAAACACACACATACATAATACTTGTTTCTAGTAACAATTTTAAATTTTAAATTAAAAATGTATATTTCAACAAACCATTGTAATCTGATTATAATGAATACTACAATAAATAAGGTGTATATTGTACACATATATTTCAGATAAAATACAACTAAAAAATAATAAACTGTTACATTGAATCCATTTGACATTTTTTTAATACAAAATATGTAAAAATATAAAACACAAAAATAAAAAATAAATGTTTAGGATATTAAATAGTTTATAACTACATTTTACATATAAGAATAAAATTTAATATTAACTTTTTTTTATAAACATAATAAAAACCAATTTTAAGATAAAAAAAAAAAAAAATGCAACTTTCATATAAAATCAGTATAATCTGAAATTTTCTTTTTCTTGGAATAGGTAAAAGTATTTGTTCCTTATACTTATTCCTATTTCAGAATACGCAAATTTTAAATTAGATTTAATAATGAAAATGAACATGGAACATATTGAATAATTTGTAATAAACTAAATTTGACACTTAAGTATAAATAATGATTATTAATTTTTTCTTTTTATTTAATTTTTTCTTTTACATAGTTAAATATCTACAAAAAAATTATATAAATAGCCTATTTGTCTATTTATTTTCTTTTATATCATTTTCCAAATATTCAGATTTATTATGAAGAACTTTAACGATTTCAAGTCCAATAGCTTTACCCATTGGAGGAGGAACTGCATTACCAATCTGTCGATGTTTGTTAACGATCGGCCCATAGAATTTAAAAGAGTCTTTGAAACCTTGAGACCGAGCACATTCTCTTACACTAACAACACGGTTCTGATCAGGATGAAGCACCCTGCCTTGTTTTCCCATTGGTTCAGGATTTGTAATCGTAGTTGAACAAAAACCTGTCCATGCAATCCGGCCATATAAACCTGCCCAGTTGTTATGCCTATTCGCAGTATGTGGTAAACACCATGGGATAATTGTATTGTTTTGACGATCCTGTGGGTTACATTCATTACCGCTAGCACAAGAACAAACACCACGAAGCGCATTATGTTTACCTTTGCCATTCTTCAAATCATTATGATTGTACACAAGTTTATTTGTCATAGTTCCATCTGACAACTGAACTTTTATGTTGGGTAAGTCTCTCCAATCACTGCCTAGATTCACTGGAATTAATTCTATTCTTGCTTGTACTAATGGTGACATGTCCTTACAGATATGATCAATCAATATAGATTCAGGAAAACAATTATTTGGGTATCTAAATAACTTTTGTAAGTGTGTGATGGGTTTGTTTTTGTATGAAATTTTTTCATAATATGCTCCATTTAATATCTTAGGCAGATCAGACCAAGCATCATGAACAGTAACTGTTCTCATCGGAGCTGATTCTTCATACTTGCAATTAGTTTTAAATTTTTTATCATCAACTTGAATATTCAAGCTAGAACTTCTTTTGCTGAATACATGAATGGGCTCTGGATATAATGGTAACTCTTCGCCAGGTGCTGCTGCGATAATAATTAATCTTCTTCTGGTTTGAGGCACACCAAAATTACCAGCTTGAAGAATACCAAATGTACATTGATAGCCCATGCGTGTAATACATCTCAGAGTTAGTTTAAGAACCATGCTTCTTTTGAAAGATGCAAAATTTCTAACATTTTCCAGAATAAAGAATTTTGGTCGATAAAAATCAAGGAATGATAAAAATGTTACAACAAGACAGTTCTTAAAAAATGAATACTGACCAGAACTAAACCGATTCATACCACTAAACCCTTGACAGGGAGGTCCTCCACAAATAAAATCAACTTCACCTTTTTGTGGAATCATTTGATTTTTATCATTCTTTTTTTTACCAGACATGGCCAATTTCAACAAAAGATTACAGTCATCATTGAACACTGTTGAGTCTGGATTGTTTAATTTAAATGCAGCGGCAGCTTTATCATCAGATTCTATAGCCCACTTGGTTACAACAAGACCACTATCTTCTAAGCCTTTTGATAAGCCTCCACAACCGGCAAATATATCTAAACCTCTCAATGGTTTGATTTTTTTATACTCTGGAATATATTGCAATTTATCTTCCATTACAAATGCATGTTTCATGTTGGGACCTACTTCTTTTCCTATCAGTTTTGCTGTACTTGGAAGTTGATGCTCTGGGATAAGAGAACCAGTAGCAAAATCATATTTTTTAGCGAAGTAAAATCGATCTGGTCCACCAAGATACCAAGCAGTAGTGTCTAGAATATTACTAATGAAAGAAACATAACATTTACCGAATACTTGATTACATTGGACCCTAAATTGTTCTTCTGACCAATATAACATATTCATATCAATATTATTTTTGTTATTTTCTAAAGGAATTTGTTCAGCTCTATACATTCGCTGTACCAAAAGCTTGACGTTTGATTCATCCCCTTCAACAACATAAACTGCTATTATTTCTGCTATTTCAAAAGGATTGGGAGTATTTTCATTGGAACCACGCATTGAATATTCTAACTTCTTACGGTAATATTCTGGATACTTACTTTCATCAACGTTAATCTGTATTTCATTACTACTAATTGTGTTTGATTTTTTATGGTCAAATGGTTTTACTTCTAATAAATTTGCCCTTTGACTTGTTGAAAATATATTGGGTGGTAAGTAAATAAAACTTCCTATTTTATATTCTACATTGTGCAATTTGAATTTATAAAAATATGATATACCGTTAGATTTTTCAATGAATTCAAGTGGTTCAGGTATTTTAGATTTTTTTTCTAATTCTTTAATTTGACAGTTTTGACAGTTTTTTATATTTTTATTTTTATTAATTTGATTTTCTGGTTTTGGATATTCCAAACGTCCAAATTCTTCATCATAGTAGAATTGATAAAAAAATGAATTTTTACTGTTACGATTAACAGGTTCCAAAAGATCTTGTAACTTAGAGCCACCAAGATTGAACCAATTAGCACTGGGTATTTTTTGTGTGACATCTAATATTTTAACTATATCATTAATGTCAATGTTAAGACATTTTTTAATAGCAAATATTTCTTGAGGGTCTGATGTTTCACCAAGAATTGTTTCATAACCATGAATGAATAAGCTGAGGTGAGCTCTATCTTTAAGATTTGTTTTAAAGAAATATTCTATACAACCAATCATTGGTTCCGCCAGGACATGTTTTTTCACGACTACAAACATTTTTTCACTCAGTTTATGATTTTTCCACCTCACTTGATTTCCATCAATATCATTTATACCAGAACACGTTTGTTTAGCTGATTTACTGTCGACACAATTGTCATTATCAAACATAGTTTTAATAAGATCTTTTTCTACTTCATGGTTTTCCTTATCATCAATTTCTAATTGAGCAGCAAACATATTTTCAAATATGTCTTTTACTAATTCTGTGGTAGTAGCTTTAGTAAACTCCCGCTTACTTATATTAGTCCTTACACCACTAGTTTGATTTCTAGCTCTTCGTGATCTTCTGGATGGAGGTTTAACAGATTTTGCCGCTCCTGAAAGTTGACTTAATGTTTCAATAAATTGTGTATCAGTTAATGGTAAAATATATTTATTATTTGAATCATAGTCTTCTACTTGATCAATAACAAACTGAGCATAAGTAATAAGATCTTCTTCGCTGAATTTATTTCCAGTTGCAGGATTTAATGAGTTTACTACATAACTTAGAATATCTTCATAAGTTGGATCATCATAATCACTATTTAACATATATGAAATTACTTTTGAACTTAAATTAATTTTTTCAGTTACAGACTTTATATACTTCTTATAATCACAGTGTGGTTCAATTAATAAATATTCAGCATATTCTGTTGATATACCTATTAATGTCTGCTCGGAACCACCATCATATGTTGTTAGCCACCATTCCAATATAGGCCCCAACAACTTCACTGCAATTCCATTTTCTGTACCCGAACTAAAGTCATGGATTGGTTTTATAAGGCCAGTTAAGTACAATGGAATATCTCTCTCCATCATTCCTGAATCTATTGAGCACAAATGAAAATTTTCATCATAAATACTATAATTAGTTATAGTGTGCTGTACAATATTCGAATCGTCTGTATCAATATTGGTCAAAACTTCGTTTGTTAGTGCAACACACTCAATTTCTGCATCAGGAGGTATGACCACATTTTCCGTTTTTGTTTGTTGACAAAATTCACAACATACATCACTTTCCTTATTACTATCAATACCCATTATAATTTTATTAATATTAATGGCTTTGATCTTTTATTGGTTTTGGTTCAACTTTAAGGTGATTTGTAAGATTTAATAGGTGCCAATTTATTTCTGAACATAAATATTGGACCTAAAAATAATAATAAGCATACATTATTTTCAAAGTTATAACTTAAGAAAGTAGGACACAGAAAGAATTCATAACTTTTAATTTTAGTATGTTTAAACATAAAGATGATTATATAATTTTGATATAAAAGTTATCAATATAAATATTTATCACTAATACATAAGTACTGCTGATAAAAATTTTTATAAACAATTTTTTTTAGACCTATTAAGGAGAATAAATAATTTTATTTTCATAGTTACATATTAATAAAAATAATAATAAATTGTTAACCAAGAGAAACAGTTTTAAATTCATTTTTTCCACTAAGAAAGTAAAATGTAAATTATATTTTTATAATGAAATATTTAAAATTTGGTTTAACTTATTTTTATAATCAATATTCAGATTTTATATAATAACTCTTCTACTTAACAAATGTACCACTTGACATTAAATCATTGAAATATAATTGATTTGATGCATTTTAATTATGCCTTATTTGAAACCTGTTTGGAGAAAAATCCTTTATACTCAGGTTTAAAAAAATCATATATATTTTGCATAGTTTTTGTTTTAGAATATTTGAAATATCAATATATTTTTTACATTTTTATCTCCGAAGCATTTTTTTTTTTTTAATTTTTTTTAAGCTAAATTTAATATTTTATTATTTAACTATAGAATGTTATTTATTTTTAAAATTTAAATTACTATCTATTTTAAAAAAAAAAAAAATAATACAAAATTCATATTAGTTTATTAAGCAATACCTTTATTCAGTGCAGAACTGCTACCCATGAAACTAGGCAGTTATCTAAGGGCCTCAGTTAAATAGCAAAAAAAAAAAAAATTATCATTTTTGAAAAATATTTCATACATAGAATATTATTTAATTATAAATAATGATAGAGAGGAATGAAGGAGGCTATATGTAGCAACGATGGGGCTTAATGCCATATAAAAACTGAAGAATTTTTTATTGTATAATGATAACTTAAAAAATAAATTACCTAAGAAGTCGTTAGTATATTATACATTTTATCTTATAAATGAGAAGTAAAATTATATTTATCAATTGTTGGTAAATGTTATTAGTATTAGTGTATTATAATTTAATTACTAATTATTGATTATTATTTTTTCGCATCATACAACCACAATTAGATGATTACAAACAAATGGTAATAAATCATTAGATAAGTAAAAATAAAAATAAATATATACAATTCTGAGTTTATATGGATATAAATATAAATATAAATATAAATAATAAAATATAAAAATGCTTTAATTGGTTAACAAATATAATTAGAGATATAAATAGAATTTATTGTAGTTAATGGTAACATAGTTGTCTAATTATTGATGTTAACCATTGGGAGGTGTGGGGAATAGCTCCCCAAGGATTAAGTTGAGATTAATCATTGTAAGAAAAGCTAATTTTTTTAAGTCTAGGAGTCCCTTTTATTTTATTTTTCCAATTTGAGCACTGAAAGTAGGAATATCTTTAAGGAAGCTATTAAGTAAATCAGCGTCAAACTGCTTAGCAGAACGATCAATTTCAGATTATTAAATTCAGATAATTAAAAATGATTTAAGATCAAATACAGATGATAACAGACTTGATTCACTATTCATGTTTTATATTGAGTCAGAAATAATGAAATAAATGGACTACAGTGAAGGCATATGTTCTTTTGCAGAAAAAAAGTTTGTTCTGTAAAAATTTAATTTTGTCATTTCAAAATCATGTTAAGTAAACAGTATTGTAACAATTTACTAAATTTATTTCATAAATCTGTCCTTTTATATTTAATACATATACTTACGTATATTTATTTTTTAATTGTAATGATATATGTATACAGGCACAGCTCAAGGGAGGCCAACAGGCTCACGTCTAGTGAGGCATTTAACATTTTAATACTATAGATAATTTAAAAAAAAAGTTTATAATTCCTAGTACCTACTCATATAAAATTATGTGTAATAAAAAATAACTCTATACATTATTTTGTTTTATTCAAACATAGATTTTAATATTACAAATACAATAAAATTTTTAGATATAAATACAAATTTTTACAAAAATCTGCCAACATTTTCCAACACAGATACAGTTATTTTTAATAATAATTTAAGTCCAAACGTAGGTATAACAGATTAAATATATAAAAAAGATCAAATAGCTAAGAACAAATAAATTTAACCAACATTTTTTTACAAATTAATTTTTTCTTCACCTAATTTATATATTAACTCAGAAAAATATGAAAGATATGACTGGACCCACTTAAACTATTTTAATAAACATATTAATGATAAAACAATTGAAAATAAGGTAACTTGCACTTACATTTGAAGTGTTGTAGAAACAGGAAAATCGTTACGTGTAAAATTAGTGTTATAATGTAACATTAGCCAAGTGTTTTATCGGATGTAATATATTTATGTTAAGTTTAAAATGTCCAAGAATGAATAGGTTTTGGACAAAATCTACTAGAGTTGCTCTTAATAGTAACGCTATTGCTAGAAATTATTTTTTTTAAATTAGTGGTTTTTTGAAAGTTGTAATTGAAAATACAATAACTTAGGAAGAAAAAGGATTTTTTAAGGAATATTTCATCTGTTAGAATCTGTAAGAGCTGTTATTTGTTTGTCCGAATTATACTATTATATATTTATATAATTAAATAATTTTAAACACGTACTATAGTCGTAATGGTATCTGTTAAAAATTATCTAATTAAAATTTTTCCCTCCAAATTATTACTAGTTGAAAGTTAAGTTGTCATAATATGACACTTATTAGAGGTGAATGTGGATTATAAATGTATTTTTTGAAATAAAAAAACAATATGAAATTAATTTATAATTATCATTGTAAAAATGTATCTTATTTTATTAAATCTTACATGGGGTCATAGGGATGTTTTACTTTACTATACAATTAAACCAGTGGCATCATTTGAAGGGAGGGGGTGGAAAATGGAACATTTTCCAGTTTAATTTTAACTAATAGTCGGCACATTTAAAAATATAAAAAGTCTTCAAAGAGGTCAATTTTGTCAACAAATAATAATTGTAGGTTAGCTGACCTCATGAATCACTCCTAAATCCTAACCTCTGAGCTAAAAGTAACCACGCTAACTTGAAAAATCATAGTAATTATTTTCTTGAATTAAATTGAAATTATGTTATTCTAATGATAATCTTGAAACATTATTGACGTAATTTAATAGAACTAGATATTATCAATACATTTTTGTTCTCTTGATAAAAATCGAACAAATATAAATGCTTTGAAAAATTGAGATAAGCGTTGTTAACGGTCATTACACGAACACAATGATAATTCGATAATATTGGCTTTGAAAAAATATAAAAACAAATATAAATCAAAATTTGTAGTAGAGTTCGAACGCAGGGAGAAAAAACATTCTCGTATAGTATGTGTTTGTTGAATCTCGCTCAAATATTATGTTGTTAAAGGGCCAGCTGTAGATTTTTGTCGGAGACCTATTCATGAGTCGGCCGGACACTGGTCACAATATTTGTCCATTACAATGGACATTGGGCCTCAGGAGTATAATGAACGGTTTGCGGACATAACAATTTGCGAACGGCGATTCCGAAAACGTTCATACGAAACGATCCGAGTAGAACCGGTTGAACGTAAATATCACAGCGCACATACTTACGGGTGAAAGTCGAAGCCGGCCTGAAATGCCGCGCGATGTGACGAACGGCAAAATCCCCGTACACGTGGGCGACTCGGCGAGAGGTGGAGACGACGACGACGGCAGAGGAACGTACAAAAGACGAACCGAGGAACGATAGTAGACCGAACGGTGGAACGCGCGAAAAACGAATGGCGACGAGTCGGACCGACGGACGGCGCGTTACTTCGGGAAGGGCCGGGCAAGCGAGCGGGTCGGCGGGAAAACCACCGGGACAAAGCGATAGACGGAACGCGTATCGATCAATTGACGGCGATAACAGAGTTTTTATTATTTTCGAACCGATAATTTGTTCGCGCTAATCTTTTAGCGACCGACGAGATTTTATCTACGTTCCGCGTTGGAATATAATCGTCGTGCGTTATTACAATCACGTGCGTGCAACGATTATCGTGCAACAATTAGATGTTATCGGGGAAATAACGACGTCGCGGAAAACCGATAATGTCTCGTTGTCGAGCAAATCTATTTCCGAACGGTGAATAAATATTACGAGGTTTTTTCCCCTCGTGGTTTCCGTGTTGGGCTACGACGTCTAGATTGGACCCGTTTCCGATCCGACCATCCGACTAATCGGACGAAAAACAAATAAATTTTATTTTTAAAACCGACGTATCCGACTAGTCAATACGTCGGAAACGGATAAACATGGCCACTATCATCTGTAATACACACGGTTTTGTTTAATCTCCGATTAGTCGGACTGTCGGATCGAGTCGAAAACGGGTCCTACGTAGCCTTGGACACATCGCGTTCGATCGCTGTTCTCATAAAGGTGCGTTTACACAACGGCCGTGAACGCGAACGAACGCGAATTCGGTTCACTAACGATTAAGTGTAAACAGTACGCCGAACGCGAACGAACGGCCGTTTGTACCATTCGTTCGCCTTTTCGGTGCGGTTCGATCGATTAACGTTAAGATCAAAAGAAATGACATTCAGTGTGAACGTCTTTCGACCCGTCACAACAGATTTGCTTGTGTTTGCGGGTTTTGAGCTGGTTACACACTGCATTTTCGCGTTTTTGAAACGTCGCGTATCGAAACGCGAACGCTGTAAGTAATTACACAAGAAGAGTGTACCTGCGTTCTGAGCGCGTTTTTCTTTACCAAAAATGCGCAAAAACATATTTAAAATCATAGTCCATACGGTCTGGTCATTGTTCAGTTCAAATTACAACGTGCTAAGAGGAGGAACATGGGGCTCTTAGGTATACCAGTTCAAATTTATTTGCTCAATAATAAATATAATTGTTTTAATTTATATAACTATTCAGTCATAAAACAATAAAATATGTATTTTAGTAATTATTAAATGTGTAGGTACATTATAGTTTATGTAATTTTCGAAGGATTATATTTCTTTATACAAGTTCCATAAAAAACAATTAAAGAGTATTTTTAAAACATAAATTTTTCATAATTTCATACAAATTATCTATATAAATACTTATGTATATTTCACATACATTATTCGCTTTGAACCTCAAGTATAAACTTTTCTGTGTCGAATGCCATTGCAGAAAAAAAGTAGGTAGGTAGGTACTAAGGTACAATATTCACTGACAGCTTTCGAGCGCTCCGTTTATGCTTATCGTGTGAATATACATATTTAAATATGAGTATTTAATTTTAGATGGTAAAACGCAGCGTTTCCGAAACGCGAAAACGCAGCGCACGAAACGCTACGTGTGTAACCAGTTTAATAATCAACTGTTTTTTTAGTGTCACTTTTATTTGTAAATTAATTTATGGGTAGTTAAATATTAGTTTATAAATTATGGATTTCACTGACGATCAGTGTATCACGCTAATTAATTTATACAAAGCGCGTCCTATTCTATGGGACCCATCAAATCCTAAGTATAAATTAACGAAACTTAAAATCGATTTTTGGCTCGAAATAGCAAACGATATTTAATGATTTCATGACCACGAAACTAGCCCATGCCATTAGAAGATCGTCCTCGCTTGACGACATTATTATTAAACATTTTAAAAACACAAACATGATTCAAAATCAATGTGTTCGATACTTATTCACACAACAGTAGAATTAATACTAAATAGTATTTTGAAACTCAAATTCCGAGCCAAGGCAAGCGAATGCTGACGAATGCTGAAGAACGAACATGAACGAATAGTCTGCACGGTGGTACCGAATCTTTACCGAATTCACGTTCGTTCGTTCGTTCACAGTCGTAACGTAGACGCACTTTTAAGGGGATCGGTGGTGGTGTATATTTAAGAAGTTAGGTATAGGCAATATTTAAAGTGATTGTGTGAGTCATTTGTGACTGTGTGCGTAGTAAATGATTATTAGTATGTGTACGGGTCTCTGCTCTACATCAGGTACTACCCACTCTACATCTTATCTGCTAATTGACCAATAACTATAACAACATTGTATAGTAATACATGGTAATAATAATTACGTAAATACGTTGTCTTCTGCATTTTATATTATTATTGTTTGACGTTCATTCTACACACCTATTTTTGGCTTTACTGCAAAAACCTTCACAATTTAATTTTTCATTATGTATTTACTATAAAAACAAGAGTTTTCTATTTATTTTAAGTAGGTATAAAGGATTATGTTATAATAATACACGTTGTGTGTATTAATTTATAGAGTATATTAAAAAAATATATATACAAATATTAATGGTTAAGGTAAACCAGATCTTATAGGTAATCCTCGATCAAATCTCGATTCTATAATTTCTGGGACTAAAGATTCCATATAAAATGTTGTGCATTGTGGTTCAATATTATATTTCCAAAATTCCTCGTCTCTTAATATTTTATCGACTACATAACCTATAAAAATATAAAATATTAGATAATGTTGATTTGAAATAAAAAATAAAGTAAAATGTATAAGTTACCTTTGGGCGTCCACACTACAAAATAGCACCATTTTCATTTTGTAATATCAAGTTGTCCTTGTACTTGAAAATAGTAACAATTATTTTTTTTTAATATTAGTTTTTCATCATTATAAATCATGTATTTTATTTTTTGTTATTTCCTCTATTTTTTTTCACTTTGGATAGTTTTTGTTTTTTATTTCCCATTTTACCAAATTATTATAAATAAAACAAATCACGTTTTATAAAAACAAAATCTAAGTGACAAAAAAGTACGTAAAAATCTTACTATTTTACACTAGCGAAAAATACATATACCATGTCCAAGTGTAGTGATGACGTGAGGCGAAGCTCAAATGAACAATATTTCATATTTTCCTGTTGTATTATTATACCTATTATATTTCATTCATACCAAATTATCAATATACGCAAGATATCTTATTATACATTTGTAACGTAGTAATACCTAGAATAGTATAATTACGATTTATAATCTATCTATCGCAAACCGTGGCATGCGATGTAGTTGAAGGAACGGTAGTGGCGAGGAACTCTTCCGCACGCGGCACGCGCTACAAGCCACTGCCGCACTGTCGCGCGTATGAACATCCAAAATATGTATTTTTTTTACTAAAACTATGTAATTTTGGTCCATCATACCGATCGATCCCATAATGCGATGACATTTTTGAAAACTAATCTGAATTCGTTATAATGTCTACTTGAGATCGATCAGTTCACATTTTAAGATTTCTGATTTATATTCTGAATAATCAACGCTTGAAAATGCCGAAATTTCAAAATATTCAAACTATGATGGAATAAAAATTGGATGTTTTGGCTAAAATAACTGTCCTCTACCGATCCCTTTAAGGTTTAAAGCCGTGCACCGTCCGTAATCGATGTTCGTCAAAATGCCAGTCGATCCCATAATGTTTACGCCGGACTCGCATTATCGCAATTACTTGCATGTTTTTTCCCCAGCGCCTATTTTTACTCGTGCAAAAATAAAACCAAACGAACGCGAACCACAGTGATGGGCATACGTATTCTTGCGTCAGTTAATGGTTGGTTAACGGGTCGAAATAACTCTCCCCTGAAATGCCTATTGTAAAATAATTTTAAGACACAGTTATAATGTTATATCGTGTCGTCAATTCTAACCGCTTCCATTAACTAAATATAATAACATTTTATATTTTAACTTACGTTTGATCGGCTTATAGAAATTGAAACGTTAGTAGTTTTGTAAGAGGATATTGAACATTTAAAACCCCCTCAAAATATTTTTTTGGTTACGTTACTGTCTTGCGTGCTCAAATTTGCGGGCAATCCGACATGTTAGATAGACATTTAATGAAATTGGCCGATTGTATGTCAGTTTAAAATGTATATCTATTGAAAAAGGATGGACGTACAAAATGCGCGCGTAACGACGGACGTATTTTTTAACGCGCGTACTAGAGCGGGCACACGGAGCGTTGACAATATGACGTCCGTTGAAAATAATTCTAATTGGCATTGCTATTTATTCGTGCATTTACCATATTGTACCAGTGGTAGTGTTACTTACTGTTGGCTTAATTTTTACTTTTAACGATGTATACAAATTATGTTTTATACTTGATACACTATATACTTGTTATAATTACACATTACTCGAAAAGAAATCGAATGAAATGCCCAACGTGTTAATATCAATATTTAATCAGTATGAACCTTTTTCTAAGTAATTTCGGGTGATAGTTTTGTTAACTTTTTCAATACGTCCGTGCTTTGTGCGCACGTGTTTCCACTTATATCGAAACCGATATAATTCTAAACGCGCGTCGATGATTTTCGACGTGCGTTTTAGAGAAAAATTACGTCGATAAAAATATGAAGTCCGTACGAACGCGCGTTATTTTTAGCGCACGTTCCTCGCGTGCCCACTCCTGCGAGTGACAATGTACTTCTACGACGCGCGCACCGACGTATTTCGTACGTCCGTGTGACACCAGCCTAATCGTATACGTGTCCGAAGCAGCTCTGCGTACCGCCACCGTCCGCATGGTCGTTGAATGGTAAGCGCGAATCGGAGCCGACCGGTGCACCGGGAACCGGTTTTGGTCCGCAGCCCATCCACGTTACTAATTCCACGGCATGTTGCAGCTGCTACAAACGTAACGACGTCTACGTTTCGGTTGAACGATACGATTTTACGGGACTATTTTGAAAACGTAGCGCGGGCCATATGAGTACGCCGCCGCCCTTGTTCCTAATTAGTGATCGCAGCAATATCGTTAAGATAGCGTACACGCGCGCGTGTCTTACCCGCGTATTATTTATACATTTATTTATACATCCGTCCACTTA